GCTAGAAGCTCTTAGAATATCGAGAGAGGAAGACTCGACCTTGCAGTTCACACAATCTAGTGCCGACACCGAAGGAAGCATCGAGGGCCGGTTAAACCCAAACACGCCAGAAAGGGGATGGATTGGTGATGGGACGATACCTGCCATAACATATACAGAATTGTCTAAGCCACCGCTTCCCAAACGACCATCTTTCCCTTCTAGAAGTTCGTCCGAGCAGGCAATGCTAGGACTTCGTAACGCCATAATGGACCAAGATTCCGCCTCTTCGTCGGCGAGGCCGCCTTCGTTGCCGCCTTACGGTGGATCTACTCCGAGAAGGAAATCTTCTAGATCGCCGAGCCCGGAAAAACACACCATGAGAACGACACTACGTTCAGCCAAACCAGAAAAATCTTCCAGATCATCTCGAGCTACACCGTCCAAGCTAAGCAAAGGTCCAGGGGCTAGCAAGGCAGCTACGTTGGCATGGAGTAGCCTCGAAAGGGGAACTTCTTCGGACACAACTACACCGTCTAGGTTGTCCGAGACGCGGAGATCCTCCGACCAAGTGCGAAAGAGTTCCACCTCGACCCCGAGACAATGGGACAGTCATACCAGAAGACTAGTGGTTTCTCCCGAAGCCTCCGGTACTCCTACTACAGCGCTCCGTACAAGCCCCGACTCTTCCATGAGGAACTCGGGTGACTACGTGTCTACTACCCCGTCCTCTCTAGCTTTGGGCGCTGCTTCGAGTGCTCTGGGGGCCATGGCAATTCAAGAGCGGCCAGAACCTAGTCCTATAGTAGCTCGAGTAGAAAGGAGGTCAGCATCTAGAACCAAATCGAATAATTCGACCACACAAACCACAGGATCTCTAGAGCTTGCCCTTAAAGCAAGCACTAAAGAAAATGCAGTCAGAAGGAGACCTGTAGACCGCGGTAGGATGGTGGAACCCAATAGTGCTAGGAAGCGCGTGGGCCGGCAAGCGTCAGATAACGACGGGACAGAAGAGACATACTCTAGTGATGACCAAGTTAGGGGAAACCCCTCTAGCCGGAAGTTCAAAGCCAAAGGCAAGCAGAAGGAATCTCTTCTCGTATCAGACACCGACGACCGCTCACCGGCCGACTCGGCGGCCGAAGGGGAGGATAAGGCCAAAGAAGAATGGGAAAAGAAGAAAAAGACCATAATGAAGAACTTGCCGGCAGGTGTAGACGAGGCGGCAGCTAAAGCAATATTCAACGAAATTGTAGTGAAAGGCGACGAGGTTCGTTGGAGTGACGTTGCTGGTCTAGAGATTGCGAAAAATGCGTTGAGAGAGGCGGTGGTATACCCGTTCTTGAGGCCCGACTTATTCATGGGCCTTCGCGAACCGGCCAGGGGAATGTTGCTCTTCGGGCCTCCCGGGACGGGGAAGACGATGTTGGCCCGCGCCGTCGCGACGGAATCGAAATCTACCTTCTTCTCCATCTCGGCAAGCAGCCTGACCAGCAAATACCTCGGCGAATCCGAGAAGCTCGTTCGCGCATTATTTGCGCTGGCGAAAATGATGGCACCAAGTATCATATTCGTCGACGAGATAGACTCGCTCCTCTCGCAACGATCAGGAAGTGGAGAGCACGAAGCCACTAGGAGGATCAAGACGGAATTTCTGATTCAGTGGAGCGACCTACAACGAGCCGCAGCAGGACGCGAGAGCACCGGCGGAGCGAATAAAGAACGAGGCGATCCGAACCGTGTCCTCGTACTGGCAGCTACCAATTTGCCGTGGGCGATTGACGAAGCAGCAAGACGAAGGTTCGTCAGACGCCAGTATATCCCTTTGCCCGAGGCAGAGACCAGGACTATTCAATTGAAGACATTGCTCGGCCAGCAGAAGCATAGTCTTGCGGACACCGACATCGTCGAGTTGGTGAACCTAACAGACGGTAAGCGCAGATGGCACGTTTGTCTATACCTTATATAATGCGATGCTAATCTACATATCTATGTACTAGGCTTCTCTGGCTCGGACATCACCGCACTGGCCAAGGACGCAGCTATGGGCCCCCTACGCGCTCTAGGCGAGGCCCTTCTCCATATGACAATGGACCAAATCCGGCCCATAGAAATGGCAGATTTCAAGGCCAGCCTCCGCACGATCCGCCCCAGTGTCAGCAAGGAAGGCTTGAAGGAATACGAGGACTGGGCAAGGAAATTCGGAGAGCGTGGCGGATGAAAACCGAAACCTCTTCATTTATTGTAGCGCTCCGTAAGGGCTCCCCCAATTTACTAGGCAATCGAAGGAGACGAATGGAGGGAAAGGGAATAACGGCGTTTTAGGAACCAGGCAACCATGGACTGGCATAGGTACGATACCTAGGGTGAGACCTCCGTTCAATATGAATTATTTCGGTGCATGGCACTTCGGCTACCAGTCAAAGCCGTACAGGCCCGTAGTAGTACATAATTTACATGGGGGCGGGTTGATATATACAGGTTACCATACAATACCAGGCTTTGCGTTCTAGTCCATTTCCATGATCATCATCCAACCGATAAAACGTGCTGGCTGTTCGTGCTCTCGTTCATAGCTCTTATGTTTGTTTTCCCTTTTCTTTCTTAGTGTAAGCACCGTTTAGTCGACATCGTCCAGCGTCGTAGCCTGAGCGGACTGTGTAGGTTGTGTAGGCTTGCCCCATTGTGCTTTTAATGCCTTCCGCGCCTCTCTCGCTGCCCTCTCTTCCGCCCTGATCCTAGCCCGCTCTTCCTTGATCTCTGCCCTTCGCTCGTCTTTGGCCGCCCTCTTAGCTGCCTTCTCCGCTACCCTCTCCTCCAGCGTCGGGACCGCCTCCCGCTCGTCGATGGGCTCGCCGTACGGCGCTATGATGTGCTTGACGACGTGGCGCACGTGCTGCGAAACGCGCCAGGAGGATGTTATGGCGACTACGTCGCCCTGCCGGACCGAGTTCCGCGGGTCGTGGACTAGCTTGTAGCGCGGCTCTTTGAACCACTACGTAGAAGAGAGAAGAAGAAAAATATTAGGAATTGGCTGTGGGTCTATTAGGTGCGCTCGCGAGGCCCAACTCACCTTTTGTACTCTCGGCTCCCACCTGAGTCCTCCTAGCCTCACCTTCACGGTCTTGTCCATTAGGCCCGCCGATACTACGATGCCGTACATCTCCTTGCCTGCGTATCGCACGGCATTGGCGGCCGCCGCCGCCACTTCTGAGGCCATATTTTTTCCTCTTTTCCACCAATCGCAATTCAAGATTCTTAGGTTCCCTTGCTCCGAAATTGAATCGTCTTGTTATCGCATTTCAGACCGAATCAGCCACGGTGTTCTGTCGTCGAGTTGCTGTATTTGCTTGGATACTGACTTCCTCTATAAAATATTTTGGAAGCTTGAAAAGGTCACGGGCCACCCAATTGGATGGAGCTCTCGGTGTCGGCAGAAAATAATTCCGCCGAGACTGCCCGAGACGGGACTGCCGAAACTGGCGGGGCCGACCACACTTCATTCGGGATACTCCCACATCCACCTTTTGCCGCCTGTCCGATCCCTTAATTCGGAGATCCCGACTTCAACCCGGCCTTGAATATTCAGGGGATTCCGAACATGCCTATACTTATGGATGTCCAAATCCAACCGAAGAATAGTGTGCGGGATAGGTATATTGCCCCTCTCGGCCTGCAGAGGAGGAATTACTAGTTCTCCTATGTCTTAAGAACGTCTTAAACAGCTTTAATATTAAACTATCAAACTATATCTCGTCGTGAAGATGACGATGACCTTTTTTCATTCCATTCGTCCCAGGTATAGTGCCAGCTCATTAGTCGAAGAAATTTATTGATACACTGCTTGGGACCATTGGAAAATCTATTCAAGGTTTGTGGCGTGCCTAGACTTATCGCCATGCTTGCTATTCATAGCCGATAGCGTTACCTACTTACAAAGACTTGAGCTTCAGCAGCCACTATAGCGGCGCCACAAACGTCGGTCTCATCCGGGGCGGTTACCATTTCGCACATCCTGATACTTCCTCGGGCGCCGCCCAAGCCAACTATTTCCTGGCGAACGGCGGCAGCTGGTCGAATGATGGCATTACTCTCCCTGGTATGCTAGATCTCGAGGGCAACTGCGCGGGTCTGTCAACGAGTGCTATGGTCTCATGGATTAAGGATTTCAGCGACACATACCACAGTAAGACCGGGCGATACCCTTTGCTATACACAAACCCTTCCTGGTGGTCAAGCTGCACCGGTGGTTCGAGTGCGTTTATTAACACAAACTCCCTCGTCCTCGCGCGGTATAGCAGCAGTTCTGGGACGCCCCCGGGTGGGTGGCCGTATTATACAATTTGGCAGTTCAACGACGCATACCAGTATGGTGGTGACTCGGATACTTTCAATGGAGACAGTATGTGTTATTGCCAGTCCCCTACCTGCGCCTCCCGTGTCCAAGTCTTCGGTGTATTAGGGAGCGTACTTAACTAACATTACCTATAATATTATAGTCGCTGGACTGAAGAAACTAGCTGCTGGATGACCTGTTCACCTTGGGTACCTACCTACCTAGGTAGCTGGATTACATACGGTTGGAAATGCAGACATGCACAGTGGAATAAAACCCTTGGGAGGCAGCAGAAAATATCCACCAATCATGTTAGGATCTAGATAGTCTCCCTTAGGAATCGAGAGAGACCAGCCTTTGAGATGATCTATTCTAGACTTGTTCAAGTTGGCAGCAAAGTGCGGCAGACAGTGGGAAAGCGCAAAGAAACCTCCTAGCTAGCGAGTTTCACGAAATGGCTAGGCATCGACAGGTTTGTTACGGCTGGGGTCGAGTAGCTCTGGTGTCACTTCGGACTTGTAAAATATAATTTTGTACAGATGAACCCCGTGCTGATGTTGGAGAGTGGCGTTATTCCCTTTGTTCGGCTCCGCTGATTGGGAGAGGCGGTGTCAAGGGCCCGTTGAAGTACTCCCGCCCCAAGGCATGTTTGGCATATAGTGTCGTAGTATTCAACAACTTATTGGGCGACTTGGAGAAGTGGTATAACTCGCCCCAATGGACTAACAAGTCTATGAGAGAGGCGGGGGTTCGAGTCTCTCAGACGCCGTAAAATCTTTTATTTATCTTCCTTCTACATAAGTACTCCCGCCCCTAGACATGTTTCAGGTACATGCCTTTTGTTGATGTTGTGACCACGGATAAGGGCTAGAGCCTGGGCTTGTTTGCAGATTAAAAATTAACTATGAGTTGAAAAGAGCTAGAAACCTCATCCATCAGGTTATTGTTGACGCAACAGTGCTGAGTATTTGATTGAACCATACAGTGATAGCGAGTATAAGTAGGTATATAAAAGATGCCTGTCTTGAGATCTTACTACCTGGCAAGGCCTTTGAACACTAGTCTTGGGCAATATTGTCACCTGATATCGAAAAATACCATTTCAATAGTATCCCACTTTCGATAGTAGTAAGTTCCCGGGAGCTTACTGATATATTGATAAGGGCTCGCCATAGGGATGCATTCATCCCACTCGGATAAGACAATACCTATGTTCATCATTGCTTACTGGAGGTGGACGGATTCTAGATTCACGACTATCGAGAGTTTATTAGGCAACTCGGCTGCAAATACTTGTGTCTACATGTAATCTGCAGGTACATAGGGGCCTCGGGGGCCGAGTAGAATTGCATACATATGTATCAGGAACGTGGCGTTGATAAGATACATGGGATCGGGGAATCTATCGGACATTGTATGAAATGTAAGAACCTATGGGTTGTCGAATCGCTTCTACCCCGAGTAAGCAGAAAAGCCTGGCCGCAACGGGGTTCGCATTATTTAAGGATGACTGCATATGAATTCGCCCGTTGAGTTTCTCCGGAGCTCGGGGGCCGAATTGTGGTCTACAGGTACCTATGTACCTATCTGAGTGCATGTAAGATTTACTGCTACATAAGGTACCTTACTATTCCTGCAGGCTGGGATTGCTATGTAAGATGACAAGCAATTGGACCCAGGACCATTCCCGTTGAATAATTGTTCCTTCAATTTTGATAGACTGATAACTGTTGCATACATACCTGGCCTAATATATAGATGTATTATTTGGCTGCTTTAACTCAGGTACCTAATGTAACGTTTTCGGCGAATTTTCTACTCAAGATTTGCAGTCTCGGAAGCTTGCACCGGGTGATCCCCCACTATGTAGGTACTAGTTCCATGCCTGCTTTTAGTGGATCTAACGCCGCCGGTGACATTCTGGCGACATTCTAGTGACATTCTAGTGACAAGGCCCAGACCCTGAAAAGTCACCGTAGTGGGGTTTGTTGGTACATGTAGGGATAATTAGCTGATTTGGAGGAGGGGTATTCCATGTGCAATAATGTGCAATAATGTAGCACTGCACTGTACCTAGCATATTTGATGGTGGGACCTAGGGACTGGGGAAAGGCTTAAACCGGAGACAAAAAAGCTCTATCACACCGACAAAGTTTTTTTGAGCCGTCCATTTTTCTTCACTTTATTCCTCCGTCCGAGACCCAACACAGTCAGCAATAGAGTTAGACAGCCTCGCCTCGAGACATCACCAATTACTCTTTTTATTTTATTTTAAACTACTAATTACCTCAGACGTGCTGCTTGCTCGCTAACAAACTTTTGTTGAGATTTTCTCACTTCCTCTTAGTCCGCCCACACCCGAAAGAAAAAGAGAGAAAAATACACCCCCCATTTTAACGAAACAATGCCTACCACCGCGGAATATCGTGCTGGAAAACGACCTCGTAAGTTGGAGAATTGCTTTTTTATTTCCTGGGTAGACGAGACAACTTTGCTTCGCCTCGGCCGCTCCGCCTATCGCATATTGGTAGTTCCGAGCTGGTCTCTAATAGCCGCACGCCTTCTCGTTTGCGACTTGCCCACACACCGTACTGCATTGGAAACATATTCCGTTAAAGGAAACCTCTGTGGCCCGTCGAGGAAAAAAGAAACAACATCCTTGGCCTACGGCGCACCCCGAGCACGAAAACTAGTTTCTATTCTCTCCTATCCTACCCTATCTCGTTCCGTTGTGTCTTTGCTATACCACCAATCCACCAATATCTGGTCTGTCTAACACCAATGGCGGCTCCCACAGGCACCCAGTCACTACCTCCTCCAGCTCTCCCCCAGCTAGTCGCCGAACAACATGTGCCCATTGCCTCCAGTGACAAGGACAGTCAGAGGTTGATTGTCGTCCTGTCCAATGCCAGTCTCGAGACATACAAGGCATCCCACGGCGGCGTCGGTCGCGCGGGTATGCAGCGCGAAGACAAGTACTCGCTTCTCAACAGCGACGAGCATATCGGTGTCATGCGCAAGATGAACCGAGATATTAGCGACGCCCGACCGGATATCACACATCAGGTACGCTAAGCATCCCATCACGCTATACTTTCATAACGCTCTTCAACAAGCCTCTCCGTGTTATGTTATGTTATGTTATGTTATGTTATGTTATGCTGTGCTATGCTGTGCTCGTGTTGGCATTCAACATGCTGACTACTGACGGTAGTGCCTCCTTACTCTTCTGGATTCACCTATCAACAAGGCGGGCAGGCTACAGATATACATACAGACTGCCAAAGGCGTCCTCATCGAGGTGTCGCCCACTGTCCGCATTCCCCGAACCTTTAAGCGCTTTGCTGGTCTCATGGTCCAACTGCTCCACCGATTGTCCATTCGCTCCACCAACTCACAGGAGAAGCTTCTCCGAGTCATCCAGAATCCCATTACGGACCACCTCCCACCCAATTGCCGAAAGGTCACCCTAAGTTTTGACGAGGAGACGGTGCGCGTACGAGACTACATCCAAGCACTTGGTCCCAAAGAGAGCATATGTGTCTTTGTCGGTGCTATGGCCAAGGGCGCTGACAACTTTGCTGACGAGTACGTGGACGAGAAGATCTCTATTAGCCAGTACAGTCTTTCAGCCAGCGTTGCCTGCAGCAAGTTCTGCCATGCTGCTGAGGATGCTTGGGATATTCTTTAGAAGAAAACAACCTACAGACAACCCCTCGAGGAGGAGGAAAGAGAAATGTGAGGGGACGGTAGGTAGTACGACGTGCTAGGTACCTAGGTATGAATGATGAAACGGGTGTTGACTTGCGGAACCCGCTATACAACATCGCGGTCGACGCAGGCTTCTCCTAGAGCTTGGGTCTACGGTTTTTTGATTCTGTCTCTGTTTTTACAACCAAAACATCAGGCGTTCAACATGAGATCCAAGACGTTTTCGCCGTCTTTTGTGGGCCACTTCAACTTGGCCCACTACCCTCTTCCTTTTTTCTTTCTTTTCTTCTTTTTTTCTCGAGATTCCCCCTTTTGAGTCACGCTGCCTTATTCCATGGCTCGATATCAAGCAAATATAGGACGACATCAACAGCTAAGCCCCAAAATGTCGACGTACCGCCCGCTTGCCGCATGGCGATGTAGTTTGGTTGAGCAGCGGATCCGATCTAGGCGCAGGACAACAAAAGCCGGCAATGCTAGACAGCATTGTTCCGATACGCAGTGTACCTATCAGATGGATCTGTGCGAATTTAGATGCAGAGTTGGAGGGAGATGTATGGGCATCCACCGTTGAACCATTTCTCGTCTAACAGCGGAAGTTGGTTATGGAAGTGAACGGATCGGAGTCAACGGTATGATATGCACCAAGCTCCTTGCAATCTAACCCGGTCTCACAAGGTGTTGGCCTACTGGTAAATAGGTACCTGGGCATCATTACTTCGCCTTCCGATGCCTAATCAGGAGCCAAACCTACACCTACACTTACACTTACATCTAGACTTAAACACAAGGCGAAGGTGCATCATCTAGTTGGACCTGCGTTCGCAGATAGGACTATCTATGTTCAGACTCTATTTGGTTAATGCACCAGACTACACACTCTTAGATCTCGGTCAACAAATAGTACGAGTCTTGGTCAAAGGTTGAAGAGACAGACCACATGTACATTACCTACCACCTTTTAGCGTTACATAATTCAAGCAAGAATGAACTTGAACTACCTGTACTATACTGAACTCCCTGCCTTCTTCGTTGTTGGCTTACCTAAGACCCCGTGCATTATGTACATGTACATTGCCCCTAGTTTACCAAGGTACATATTCCTCCAATACGTGTAGTCGTGGTTGACCATTTAAAAAGCGGATTGTGGGGAAAGCTTCTGTTGGAGCAATTCAATTTTTGGAGTAGTCAACTCTGCTTGGACCGCGGAAAAAGGCGGCCACTTTTTCTCTCTTCCATATAAGTATTCTTGCACATACATATTCCACATACCTATTCCACATAAGCCCCCCCATCCCATTCCACTCCTCTTGACCAAGTCTTGACCAAGGTGGACCAAGTTGGCCGTCCAATCGCTCGCCGTTATCAAGATGCTTTTTGCATGCAGCAGCTCCAGTTATCAGTCAACTAAACACTCCAGAAACGCGCAATATGGCTTAGGGCATGAATCCAACGTGGCAGCTGGCCACCCACCACTGCCGCCTTAATGACTTTGAGACCCAGCGCCATATTCGTATTGAGCACAATGGGTACTTCCAGTGACATCTCTATGGTCTACGGTCTGCGCTGCTGCGCCATTGTGAGAGAACCAGTACGTGTTATCTGGGTTCGAGAAAATTCTTGTCCGTCACGGATGGTTAAGCTGGGTACCTGTCAATCTCTAATGGACAACTATGAACCGTTATGCGCCTGCAGGCGTTTATGGGCATTCGTCTACCACTACGAATCCCCACTGCGTTGGTTGTCATTCAATTTATTGCACTACACGTGTATGAATGACTGAGATGGACGCAACTAGACCAAGTTGGGTACCCAGTTGCATTGAATCCATGGGGCCATCTCCCGGAAATTTGTGTAGACAGGTCCAAGATACTGCCTCCTGCATCAGTACCTGATTCTGTTCATGTTGGGAGAAGACTGTCTATTGGCGGTCTACATGTGAAGCTCCCTTTTTAAAAATATCAATCCGACACTACCGTTGGGTGTTTTATTCTCATAAAAGTCGCTCACTGTACATCTATCCTAGCTTTTTCTCGTCATTGATATATTAAGCTTGTC